GGAACGCCAAATCGTTGCGTTTGTTGATGGACTGGGGGCCTGAGAGCCATGAATCCAGCAGCTAGCGCCTCACATGGCTGTCACCTCTTGCGAAGAGTTCGGCTTCGTTAAAGTTGAAAATATGGCCGGGTCCCGTCGAGTGAGCTACAACCTGGGAGTTGGCGTCTTTCTTCCTCACCGCCGCTGCATTGTGGTAACCTCAAAATGAATGCTGCGATTTCCAAAATATCAGGTTGTTTGGTAGTTACGTTAGTTGTCTGCTTTGTCGTATTTGCTCCATCCGGAAGTAAAACAATTATTACGTTTAACTTAGTGCAGATTTGTGGTGAAGTGGTTCTGAAAAGGGACTGGTAGAAAACAGCGGAATCCGTGGCAAGACAACGCTCAGGATCCTGAGCGCCATATATTGACGTTTCATACTTGTATCCTGGATTGTCATTTAGCATCCACCTAGTTTCCTTCTCTATATCTTAACTCGGAAATGTTTTTTTCCTAATATTTTTAATGTGATGACCCAGTGAACTCTGCCCCACGCTAATGTTTTCCTCCCGTGTTCCTCGTGTATTTATTTATTGCCATTTTACAGGCAAGGTAAAAATAAGTTTCATTAATAAAGCGCCTCTTGGGCGCCTTATAAACCCTGGAAGACAGCCTCGTATTTCGAGAGAGGCAAACCGACAGTTTCCAAGGGCCGGCGGACTGCATCACGTCACGAATAGACGTGAAAACGGATAATAATGCCTTTCTGGAGATAAGATTAGAGTGGGTAGGGCCTAGACAGAACCGACGAGAGTGTCCGCGTAAGCTGCCTGAAACGCTGCCGGAGGTTGGTCGGATCCTCGACCACACTTCGAGGCTTTAGCGAGATCATTTCACCGGGAGATCGGATGGTGACTCGAAACACCAGTTTATTAGTGAAACAATCAAGGTTCGACTTGAGGGAGGAATGGATGCCCAACACTACTATTGGGAGATGCTTAGTCCAGTTCTCTGGATCGTCCGTGACGCGTAGGGTGATCTTAAATTGACGGTGAAAACGCTCGATGTTTCCACGGACAGTCGAATAATAAGCTGTAGTGCAGATGGGAGTACATCCTAAAAAGGAGAGGATGAACTGAGAAAAGGTTATACTGAGACTGTGTACCGCGGACGGTCGTGGTGAATGGGAGACTGTCAGAGATTGCCCCC